ATTTTTAAGAAATAATAATGCATCAAAAATATCAGTTTAACCTAAAATTTTTCATTTTAGCATTGTACAAATGCTGTTTGTTAACTACCCACTACATTCATCTTCCTCCCAGGCCATCAGTCAGTACTTACCAAGAGGAGACCTTCGTCTTCGACCAGCAATTTATGAGATGATACTTCATGAGTTCCTCAAGACTGACTATGAGGTATGTGTTTTCCATTCAACTTTTTTTTTTGTTCAATTGCATGAACTAGATGGTAGCCTGTTAGATAGACCATAACAGTAAGGTTTCAAATTGTGAATGCATCACAACAACAACCTTTATGGAAGAAGGGAATTCCTTTTGTTGTTTCTCACATAGGGTTTTGCCACACTGATTCGTGAGTGGCCGGGAGAGCTGTATAACAACATGGCTATAGTTCAGGCAGTGAATGAACACCTGAAGAAGGACCCCACCAACAGCATGCTTCTCACCACACTGGCCGAACTGTGAGTGAATGCTGCCAGTTCATCATTACTGTAAATGTAAAGCTTGTAACATCATTTTAAAAGCAGCTCTGAACACAAGTTAGACTGGTCTTATATGTGTGTATGCAGCTACACGTATGATCAGCGTTATGATCGTGCTCTGGAGATCTACCTGAAACTGAGACACAAAGATGTTTACCAGCTCATTCACAAACACAACCTATTCTCCTCCATCAAGGACAAGATTGTCCTGCTCATGGATTTCGACAAAGAGGTGAACCATCTATTTTTTCCTTTGGCCTTATTGAGGACCAGTTTTAGAACTTAATGCAAAAAAACTTGTCAAGTGCATAAATTCAGGAAGTTATGGATTCTTTTGCTGATGAGATATATTATAGATGACTTTGGAAGAATGTGATTTATAGTCACAGAAGGATATGTAAAGGATATGTACGCCTCTTTATCTCTTTTTTTTTCAGAAAGCTGTTGACATGCTGCTGGATAATGAAGATAAGATATCGGTGAGTTCAGTGCAGTGGCCTCAGTCTTTTGATTAAACCCTCCCAAACTCTCTGCACAGATGAACACGTGTGTTTCTCTCCCTCAGATGGACAAAGTGGTGGAGGAATTAAAAGACAGACCTGAGTTGTTACATGTGGTATGTTGAATACGGGCTGTTTAAATCATGCAGATGTGTCTGAGGGATCCAGCTGTAGTCAACATTGAATGCTTAACTTCTTTTTGCCTGTTTCTCCTCAGTATTTGCATAAGCTGTTTAAGCGGGACCACCATAAGGGACAGAAGTACCATGAGAGGCAGATCAGTTTGTATGCTGAGTTTGACCGGCCCAACTTACTGCCCTTCCTCAGAGAGAGCATGCACTGTCCACTAGAGAAGGTTTGTTTCAAATTTGTGTCACATTAACCAGGAAATAATGCATTAATTAGACAAGTTCTTTACGTTGATTTAATCATACATTACATACAGTTCACTGTATTTTGATCAAATAAATACAGCCTAGTGAGCATAAGACTTGTTTCAAAAGCATTTCAATAAAATGAAATACAATGCATTTAATACATACAATCATTTAATTCAACGATGAAGAGGTGATGTTAAGGCGATTATATATTTTATAATACTGTATAAAAGTTTATCAAAACCAAATGCTCCACAAACAGTTGCTGTGTGTCTTTCAGGCTCTGGAAATCTGTCAGCAGAGGCACTTTGTAGAAGAGACGGTCTTCCTGCTCAGTGAGTTTTGAATCATGAATCTGCGCATTTCTGTCATAGATATTGAACGCACTGTATAGTTCTTTACACAGTAATTGATCCAGTGCATCAGAGGAGAGGTCACTGTGTGTAAAATGTTCAACTGTAGTGCTTCTGATGAATGCTTTTTTTCCTGTCAGGTCGTATGGGAAACTGCAGACATGCCCTGCAGATGATCATGGAGGAGCTGGCGGATGTGGACAAAGCCATTGAGTTTGCTAAAGAGCAGGATGACAGAGAACTCTGGGAGGATCTCATCTCTTACTCTATAGACAAACCACGTACGAGACCTGACTCTACAGCAAGCTCTTTCTGCTAAAAAACTTATTAACTTACATTATTAATAATATTTCTCGTTTGTTTTCTTCACTCTAGCGTTTATCACAGGCCTCTTGAATAACATCGGAACCCATGTGGACCCCATCCTGCTCATTCACCGCATTAAAGAAGGGATGGAGATTCCTAACCTCAGAGACTCGCTGGTCAAGATCCTACAGGACTACAATCTACAGGTGTGATAACTGCCGGTTAAACCAACATTTCATTCTGGCTAGAGTACTGATATAACGAGATGCTTATCCTGCATTTGCTTGATCATTTTGTGTTCAGAACATCTTGATGTTTGTCCTGTAGATCTTACTGAGAGAGGGCTGTAAGAAGATCCTTGTTGCAGATTCACTGTCTCTTCTACAGAGGATGCACAGGACGCAGAAGAGAGGAGTGCGGGTGGATGGTAAACAAATGTTTTGTCTTCCAGTCATCTTGGACAAAATTACTCAAATATCAGGGCAAAGCAGCAGCTGTTTTGTTCACTAGAAATGCTGCAAAAATTCTCTTGCTTTCATTTCTCATAGAAGAAAACATCTGTGAATCCTGCCACACTCCTATTTTACCATCAGGTACACCTTGGTTACTTTTAATGTGTCAGTTTGTGTACATGAACTCACACCCACACATAAAATATATGATTTTTTATTTTTTTTATATGAATATATGATTGGAAAATGTATAAAACAAGTTAATGCAAGTAATGCAATAATGCAAGTTGTGTGTGTGTGTGTGTGTGTGTGCGTGTGTGTGTATGTGTGTATATATATATATATATATATATATATACACACTACCGTTCAAAAGTTTGGGATCTGGATATTTCTGTGATGCAAAGCTGAATTTCCATCAGCCATTACTCCGGTCTAAAGTGTCGCATGATCCTTAAGAAATCATTCTGATATGCTGATTTATTATTAGAATTATCAATGTTGGCATTGTTGTGAAAAAGTTGTGCTGTTTGAAAACTGCGATACTTTTTTCAGGATTCTTTGATGAATAAAAAGTTAAAAAGTACAGAATTTATTCAAAATATAAATATTTTCTCCTATTTTGAATAAATGCTGTTCTTTTTAACTTTTTATTCATCAAAGAATACTGAAAAAAGTATCACAGGTTCCAAATAAATTAAGCAGCACAACAGTTTCAACACTAGTCCATATTTGACCCAACATTGGGTTGAAACAACCCAGCATTTTTTAAGTGCAGTGTATATCAACATAGAAAAACGTTATTTTACATCGTAATAATATTTCACATTTTTGATCAAATAAATGCAGCCTTGATGAGCATAAGAAACTCCTTTAAAAAACATTAAAAATTTTCTGATCCCAAACTTTTGAACGGTAGTGTATATATGTGTGTGTAAATTTTGACAATGTGTACAATATACAAGTAAAAAAGGGCTGTCACCCAATCGTTATTTTAATTCTTATTTTTCCACCATCAAGACACGGCTCAGGCATTCGGTGTGGTGGTGTTTCACTGCAGACACATGTTCCACAAGGAGTGTCTACCGTCCCCTGGGAACGTAAGTCTTCTGTAATCTTTATATATAAAACTGATTTTTATGCAGAAACAACTATAAGACATTTGTATTTGTATGACAAGTTGCACAATCCAAACGTGTTGCTAGCATTCTGACCAGTAATAATGACTCAACCAATGGCATTTATTGATGCTAGAAATGCAGAAATGACACGCTTCACATTTGAACCAGCCTGCTGCATTCAAACTTTGACCCTTTATCTTTAAAAAAAAAAAAGAGAAATGTTTACTTTTTGTACTATGAAAGTTTTGCATTTTATGTCCTCTGACAGCTCCCAGGAATCCAGTATTGTAACATCTGCAGTGCAAAGCGGAGAGGACCGGGCAGTGGCATACTGGAGATGAAGAAATAATAATTTCTACAAGTAAAATAACAGTTATACAATTAGAACCCGTTACAAATTAAATAATCTTCCCTTTACTAACAGTATTTATTAATGCAAGCTTGTGATCGCTAGATTTTGTTTCACAAAAGCGCCAATAAAGCACTCCCGTAATCTGTTGAAGTGTGTTGCCACAATGTTCCAAACTAGCCATGTACAGTAGTGCATCATCACATTTTTTTTTTCCCTAAAATCTTTTTTTCATTAAGAGAACTTTGATTACTAATTATATTTATGAAAGGAGCTTGTATGAACAGACACCATCAGGAACATTTTACAGTGTCATTCAGATGAATGCAAAATGTCCGTTTTTTTAAGGCTAAACTTTACTGATATGTCATATATACTGCAATAATGCGGCACAAAATTCAGCGAAATATATACAAAACCACAGTTTTAATACACTACCGGAATAAGAGCAAACAGCCCAGCAGTTTTTGTCCAGTCAAAAGAAAAACATGGTGAGTCTGAGAGGTTTTAACGTACAATCAGAATAGCTGGATTGCTATTTGCCAACTAAATGTGGAAAGTTTAACACTGCAAAATGGCTCCACGTCAGCCTTTACCTCGTCTACACAAGCTGGAACTCATTTGACATGGCCAACTATTCATTGCAATGACTGCAGCGCCTGCTACAGGCCACAGCTACAAAAATACACATCAAACCACAAACATGATATGAGATTAGAAAGGTTAAGCTTTAATAATGGTTTGTCAATAATCATGGAATCAAATAAAATGAGGAGAGGAACAGGGATGAAAGGATTAAAGGGACATTGTTAGAGAAAATCCATTATTCGCAATATGTTGACAAACTAGCGTAGAACTACATTCTCACAGAGGGATACGAAGGTGGTTTTTACTCCTCAGAGTGGCAAGAATCACATCAAGCAGGCTTTATCTGCAAAACGACCAGGAAGTGCCATCCAAAACACTATTTTAACACATTCTCTAAATATATATATATTTCTCTCCCATCACTTTCATATCTTTTTTTTTTTTTCTTTTCCCCACAGTAAGGCCACTACAAAAAGTAAATTTGAAGACTTAACACCTGTGTAGACAGATCTTGCAAAATTGCGAGGGGAAAAAAAAATAGAATTTAAGTTTAAGGTCGAAACACTGAGTCACTCCCTTTTTTGGCCGGACTGGTGTTAATTCCTGCAGCCAATCATAGCCCAGGACCTGGTCGACATGGTAACCACAGAGATATGTAACTGAGAAATGCCCAAATCCAAAACTCCCAGCTTTCTGTCATCACAATGTAAGAAAAAAAAAAATCTGTGTAGACAGATCTTGCAAAATTGCGAGGGGAAAAAAAAATAGAATTTAAGTTTAAGGTCGAAACACTGAGTCACTCCCTTTTTTGGCCGGACTGGTGTTAATTCCTGCAGCCAATCATAGCCCAGGACCTGGTCGACATGGTAACCACAGATATGTAACTGAGAAATGCCCAAATCCAAAACTCCCAGCTTTCTGTCATCACAATGTAAGAAAAAAAAAAAATACTTGATTTGGGAGCTATACTGATGTAGCGAAGAAAAAAAAACCTCAGCAGTTTTTTTTTGTTTGTTTGTTTAATTCTCACCCAATGTCTTGAACTCCATCCTCAAAGTGGCTTTTCTCATTTTCTCAGGGTTGGCCGATGTCCAGTGGCTCTGCCGGCCAACCAACCCCATGAGGAAATCCACCGTAATAAACATTTGGTGCCTTGTTCGTTTGATGCAGTGTCATTCATCTTGGTGAACTGTGTTGTATAAAGCAGTATTTGTAATTTCAGTCAGTTCCTGGTACTGCAGCCCGTTTGAATGCAGTTGATAAGGGAGGTGTCCATGTGTGTATGAGAGGATTTTGATGGATAAATGTCAAAATATGTCCATTTGTGGGTGTTGTTTGATGGGGGTCTACTGGGATGTTTGTGTATTGTTGAGAGAACTTGACTGCTGCTCTCTAGAGAGAGAGAGAGAGTGTGTGTGTGTGTGTGTAAATGGGCACAGACGTCTCCAGCTCAGTCAGGACTGCATCAGGCAGCTGCAGGTCATTTTCCCCCTGCAAGTCTTACTTTACCATTGGCAGTAGGCTTGGGGGGGTGGGGGAGATGGCTTTTATTTGTCCCCCAGGATGGCATACTGATTATCTAACTGTAGTTGCTGCATGGAGCCCGGGCCTTCACCTTCTCTCACCCGGCTCTTATGCTTGACCACCTCGAAAGTATTCTCCATCTCTCTGTCCCTACAACACCAAAACAACCAGTATGCAGGATTGGTTATGTCCAGAATGGAATACTAGCAACTGTACAGTATGTATATATTATGAACCAAAAGGCCCTCCACTGTCCAACAATGATCAAAGGGCCCCTTATACAGGATAAAATATTTATTGCAGTTTTTCAGTTGTAATTATAAATAAATGCAAAGCTAAGCAGCTTTAAACTTTAAACTAAATTTAAACTTGTTTTATTAACACATAGTAGGTTAATAAAATTCATTAAATTGGTCGACCCCAATTCATTTTGTGATTCCGGAAGTTTTAAGAACTGTAGTTGCACTTGCAACTTCATTACATTTTAGCATTTATTATTATTTTTATTTATAAAAAAATGATAAGTCATTCTGTGACCCCATTGGAAGTTTGCTAAGGTTTCAAAGCCCTTTGGTTGAGAACCACTGCTATAAATAGCATAATATTATTACTATTGTTATTATAATTGCAAGAAAACACAATTATGACAAATAGTATGCAGCAACAAGTGTTTCAAATGGTAGTTTACTACAAGACAACTAATCAAAAACTACATCAAAATACATTTTCAAGACTCAAAATGTAAAAATAATTGTACTTTTTGAAACATGGCATATTAAAAACGTTTTACTTTTTAAACTCCTGCATACAGGATGACACTAAAAGAAAATTCCAGATCTATCCATTTCCTGCACATTTTGGCAGTTTGGTTATTTTAGTATTATTATTATACTATTATAGCATTTATTATTATTCTGAATTAACTTTTTAGTAGGGCTGGTAAGCAATTACATTTTTTTATCTAATTAATTACATGATGAGGCAATTAATTAATCGCACATCAAATTTGGCTGATAAATTACTCCCAAAAGATAAATTAAAGTCATTGTTGTTTAAAGCATCAAACAGACTACAAAAGTAAGTTCAGCAAGAAATATTTTGTTAGATAACATTTATACTCTTTTGGACCATGAGGGTGAGTAAATGATGACACAATTGTAAATTTTGGGTAGGCGAACTATACCTTTAATAATTTATTTTATTCATTTTATTATTATTACTATGGAAATATGAAATAATTTTTTTAATGAAATTATACTCCAAATAATAAACTAAAACTGCCAGTAGGTGGTGGTAAATGTTTTAATGATTAAGTCATCGAGTCATTTATTCATTCATTTGATTCATTCAAATGGCTGATTCATTCAGGAGTGAAGTAAGGCCCTGTCCCAAATGGCACCCTAAACCCTCGCGATCTTCCTCTGAGTCCGCACTTTCGTGACGTAATGCCGCTTTGACTGTCGGGTAGAAGTCTGCTGCGGAGCTCGCCCCAGTGCGGGCTCAGCAGAAGTGCGGTTCGAGGGCGCATAACGGCCGCAAAGGGGGCGCTCGCGAGCACCCTTCTGAACGCTAAAATGTCAAATGGGACACCCTACGGTCTCGTGGACTTAACAGACACGCGCACGCGGCGGCCATTGTAAGGGGCCGTTCACATATCGTGTCTTTTGCGTGCTCAAGTTCGTTAATTCAAATGTAGACGCGCGGCAGGCGTGCTCATAATGGAAACGACGCGGTCGGAGACTCATTTTTTCCAGGCGCGTCCGCGCTGCATCGAGGTAAAAAAATTTCAACTTTTCAGAATGCCGCAAGCAGAATGCCGCAAGGTCATGTGACAAGAACCAACCAATCAGCTTCATCCTTTCCCGTAACAACATTGAAAGCTCAGCCAAGATGAAGGAGCAGCTGATCATAGCTGTACAGGGATAGCGATTTTACAATAAATTTAGTAGCAGAGTTACTGCAAGAGATTTTTAGTGCTGCAAATCCATTTATCCTTTGCTGAAACTTCCGCGTCTTCATGGAGAGCGCAGGTCATGGTTGCTTAGCAACGGCAGACACCTCTGGAGCGCAAGCGCCCAAACGCTTTGGAAAAAAGCAGAAAGCGGCGCACCTAGCATTTTCCACGCGTTTTTAGGCGCGACATGTGAACCGTAAGACCGCAAGTGCACATGAAGTGTTCCATTTGGGACAGGGCCTAAATGGTTCTCTTTATGTAAGGTCCATTGAATCATTAGGCTTGTTCGACTTGAAGCGGATCATCACCATCAGATCGATCGGTGTGTGACATCAAAGTACCGCAAGAGCTATTGAGAGCAGACGGCTCCTTATGCTTTTGAATCGCTCTCGCGGTACTTTGATGTCATACACCAATCGCTCTGTGTAGCGCCGCTTCAAATCCAACGCGCCTATTGCCCCTATCGCACAGGACGCGGCATGCGCTGTGCTAGCCGCTGGGTTCAGCACAGCCCTTAAGATACAAAGCGATTTGCGCTACGCTGGCCAGAGCGAAATAGGCGTAGTTTTCAAAACTTTTACTGGGAGTTCTATTTGGATGCCTTGTTTCTATTGGGCGCTCTGTGATAATCGTCACAGAGCGCAGCGGGTAAAGTTGAACAATTTTGAACTTTGACCGCGGCGCGTGCAAGCTCACCCATGTGCGCTCTTGCGTGTGCGCTTTGGTCGACGCAGCAACAAACCATCCTTGCGCGGCGCAAGCCATTGAAATTAATGGGTTTCATAGCACAGCGCTGCGCTTTCCGCGTCCTGTGTGAAAGCTGCTTATGGCCAATGGTTCAACACGCCAAATGGTTCACCCAATTCGTTCAAAACGTGGATTAATAAATAAAATGCCGCTGTGTGTTGTCCGGAGACGAACAGTTCTGCTTTGTCTATATTTTCGTTGGCAAAATTGAGCAAAACAGACAACATTGTGTCTAAAATTACACAATATTAACTTCTTACTGAACTGTTGTATAAGATCAGTATTTGCACTCGTGTGATATTGCACTTATTGCTTGTGTGATATTGCTTAAAGGGGTCCTATTATGCTTTTTCACTTTTTCAACTTTAGTTAGTCTGTAATGTTGCTGTTTGAGCATAAAAAAGATCTGCAGAGTTACAAAGCTCAAAGTCCACTTCAAAAGGAGATATTTTATTTAACAGAAATCATTTTTCAAAAACTACAACGAACGACTCGTTTGGACTACAACGCATATTTTCTGGGATTTGTGATATCACAAATACCGCCGAATGGGACGAGACCTGGTTGAGTTGCACTAGAGAAGGCAATGAGTGTTATCACTATGTCGGAGACACGCTAGCTTTCCCAAGGCAGATGAACTTAGAGTGGTTACAATTATACGTGTTTAAATCGCACTCAAATTGATTTGATTTTGACGCAATATTTACACTGATGCTTGCAGTATAGTAGGAGAGCCTGTTCTAGTACACCCCCAAAACAAAATCAAGACTTTGTAAAAGAGCATAATAGGACCCCTTTAACTATATGATGTAAATATGAGACAAAAACTTGAACGGGCATTTTTGCTCCATATCTTGAATTTTAGGGACATTCTAACTACGTTCTCTAGGCTCCATCACGCAGTGAGTTGTTGCCCTGCCTCATATTCGTCATCAATCAACTGTATGGAATGTTAGATGACCCACGTAGGTCTGGGGCGGGGCAAGTGCGTTAAATGTGTTAATAATTTTAACACGTTATTTTTCACCGTAATTAATTAATCTAATTAACGCGTTAAATTACCAGCCCTACTTTTTTAGTCATTTTGTTATGTGCTTTTGTTATTTATATTAGTTTTTTTTTTTTGTTTCTTTTTAGCTTTATTTTTATTTCAGTTTTAGCTTTAGTGATTCTAGTACTTAGTTCAGTTAGTTAATTTAAGTTTTTTATTTTATTTGAATAGTTTTAGTAAATAAAAGACTATTACTCCATTCACAGAGAAAATCTGCACAGTACAAATACTGCGGAAATAGCAGCACATCAGTATTCCTAACATACTCTGTGTATGAGGAAAAATTAGGAAGGAAGCTAAAGGCACATCTGATTAAGCAATGAACATTGTATAGACTTTTAGAAGAGCTTAGTGTCTTACTTGCGAGTCTCCACGTGTCTGGCGGTGGAGAGGAGAGAGGGGAACTGGGCATCACTGAAGATCTCCGGAGGCCCTTGAGTAGGACCTCTCTTAGTAGAGGTTAACCGGGCCCCTGGGGGACGATACACGCCAGGTGCTTTGGGCTCAGGAGCCTCAACTTCCTCTACTAACAGGAAAAGAGACAGATTAGTGTTAAAGAACTAATCTCAACTAATGTTGGCTATTTATACTAACACTGCCGACTCACCCGGAGCAGCTGAAGGGGGGCCACTTGATTTATTCCAGGGTCCAGAGATTTTATCACCAGTGACTAGGATGATCTCACCATCCTCACCCACTTCCTCCTTCTCGTACTCTTCCTCTTCCTTCTCATCACTGTCAGACAGTCAGACCAACATAAAATTTAGTACTTGAATAGAGATGTGCTGTAACATGCATGAATTCAGAGTGCTTTGAGATATTCAAATGTTAGCTGAAAAACAAGGTCAAACACGCTTTTTAAAACTACCGGGTGGGGGCACAGAAAGCACCAATGACATCATGAACTGGCAATAACTAGTTGTGTTTACCAGAACTCCAGTAATGAAACTACTGGGAATAATTTAAATTAGAAACTGCCATGTAAACAGAATAATATATGAGCAGTAGCATGAAATTCATTAGATGTCAACCTCATCTGCAGGGCCTGGAGTCTGAGCCCAGTGTAGTCCACCTCCTTCTGTTCAAAGTCCTTCCATTCCTCATCCTCCTGGAGTGACAGTTCGAGAAAAAGAGGTGACACTTATATAGAGTTTAAATAACACGTTTTTGGACAGTACAAGAACCATTGTCTATTCTACATATTTACTAGAGGTCTGCACGGGCTTTAAAGTGAAGCCCGAACCCGGCCCGTACCCGAGATCGTCTGACCCGACCCGACCCGAGCGGCACAGTTAAATTTAGAACCCGACCCGAACCCAAAATCTTTTTTTCCCCCCACAACAAATAGCCAATTTTAAAAAATGCTGTATTTCACGATTGCATGCAACGGTCAGTAAACAAATACATGTAAAGAAACAGAATCATTAAGGCTCGGCCAGTTCTCAAGGCAAAAGAAAAAACACTTACCAGTTATGAAAGTTTAATTCTGCCGAGTTTTAGAATGGTTGTATACGACACGACGATAATTCTTCCATCGTGCAAATGATGGTCATTTTCGTCAGTTAAGGCTTGTTAGCATTCGGCCTGCTTTAAATCAGACACAGAGATGCAGTGCGGTAAGATCGCATTTATTTGAATTAATTAATTATATCATTTATTTGAATTAGCGCACGCGAGAGAGAGAGAGAGAGAGAGAGAGAGATATGAAAGTTGCGTGTGAACCTGCGTCTGCGCGTCTCTTTCTACAAGCAATGAGGCTTAGTTACTTCAAAAACAGCGCGCTTTTACCGCATATAGTTTTAGTTTAGCTATAAACCCGAGCCCGACCCGAACCCGAAGCTATTCATTAAACATTAACCCGAACCCGGGTAGCAGACCTCTAATATTTACTATATATTTCTGGAACTACAGTGGAGTCAGTCAAAGCATTCGGTTCCTAAGTGTACTGATTATAAAAGTAACTTATACATGAAGTCATGTAATGTATAAATGAAACCTCCGTAATGAACAGCAGAGAAGGCCGAAAGCATTTAATTTTCTGGACTTAATCGTAACTGTAAATCAAATGCATAGTTCTCGTCGCCAATGCAACTTCTAAACAGATCTTAGTAAGCGTAAAAAATAATAATAATAAATTATATTTAGGTTTCAAACTCTATTTCTATTAGAGTTTTTTTTTTTAAACAATCACTAGGATGCATTTCCTAAAACTTAAGTCGCTTTTTCAAAACTCTTCACACAGTTCTCCTAACCAACTTTCAGACATAGCACAGTCTAGTTTCATACCCAAAATGTAATAAAACTACCAAAACACTTAAAACTGGCAAAGGATGTTACCCAAAAACAATTTGTCACTCATAAAGCATTGACCTAAAAAACATTAACAGGAAGCAAAGTTTTCTTTTGTAAAAACTAGCAAAAAAAATAACAATCAATATCTAACCTGATGAAAAATTTTTATACAGTATCTCACAGGAGTACACCCCTCACATTTTTGTAAGTGTCATTTCTTCAGTGTTGTCACATGAAAAGATATAATAAAATATTTACAAAAATGTGAGGGGTGTACTCACTTCTGTGAGATACTGTATATCATGTGCAACAACATTGGGAATTTCAATAAAGGCACATTTGGCCATTAACTTTTTTTAAATGCATCATGCAAAAACATGAGCTCAGTTCTCCACATGAAAGACCCACAACTGATAGTACAACAAGCTACGTCTATTCTCTCCAATATGGTACAAAGAATTGAGTACCATAAAGTAAATTGATGTGAAGAGTGTGTATATAAAAGATGTTAACTGTGGCAAATGGAAATGAAACTGAAGTAGTGACATCTTTTCTTCTGTAATGTATTGGTTCTGTCTGTCAGTTGCAGATTCAATTTTGAGATGTGGGCGTTGCACTCAAAAGTGGAGGCAGATGAACTTGCAGGGACAGAGTTTAAAGGGGTCATATGATTTGATTTCAATTTTTCCTTTCTCTTTGGATTGTTACAAGCTCTTGGTGCATAAAGAAGATCTGTAAAGTTGCAAAGACTAAAGTCTCAAATCCAAAGAGATATTCTTTATAAAAGTTAAGTCAACCACACCTACCTAAAACGGCTCGTTCTAACACGCCCCCACATGTCTACGTCACGATGTGGGAAGATTTGCATAACACCGCCCAAATGTTCACGCAAAGAATGAAGGCGTAACTTTTATTCTTGCTGTAGTATTGTTGTTGCCGCCGCCACCATGTCGTGAAGGCGCTGTGTGTTTCGTTGTGAAAGCGAAACTACTTTGTTTGGCCTTCCAAAAGAGGACGATATCCGCGTCGTCATGCCTAGAGCTGATCCGTGCTGGTCGCTGAGGAAATACATCAACTTCGTGCTGTGGATCGCCGGATCGGCTTTCACCGCGAACGAAGCGGAGTCCAGCCCGGGGTCGTCACATGGCTTTGCCGCAAGCCCGACCTCCGCGCCGTTCACTCAAGCCGGCCTCCGCTCACTCTAGCCCCCAGCCTCTGCTCACTCTAGGCCTCCGGCCTCCGCTCACT